ACGGAGAGACAGAACATATAGTCGCACATAATGGGTGACAAGGGAGTGCGAAAGCTCGCCGTAGGGTCTCAAGCTGTCTGTAATATGGAGGCATAGTGCCCAAAGTATGACGACGTAGTTTTCGGGAACGCCACTTAGTAACCAATATCGCCATAAAGTAGATCGGCCTACTGATGGACTGCAGCCCGAATGTCCAAGAAGGTGAGGACGGTGCGCCTGTGGTAGATGACGACGTTCGTGGAGCTGACGAGGTGTGAATATTAGATCCGACCGTGACAAAAACCAGTCTGCCCCACACGTTAGTGTTTCACGTGTTCAGGCTAGAATACAGAGCAGGATGGATGCTAGTAACTTGGAGGTAACCGATGCCAAACGGATCCCTCTGTGATTAGCGTGTGAAGTAAGAGTACCTTTTTTGAAGAATGGGATAGTTAATGACTCGTCCCATGAAGAGGGTACCATTCTTTCTTGCCATATATTCAAGAATAGAGATGTTAGCTCAGTAATAACTGTTGTGACACTGTACCTGAACAATTCTGAGGGAAGCTCGTCCGAGCCCGCAGCATGAAAATGCTTCAGGTGTTGGATCTTAAGAGAAATCGTTGCTTCAGTGGGTGGTTCTAGTGACATTGCCCATGGCATGCGATCGAGTGTGCTATGTGCAAAGGTAGACAACGAGCAGTCACTGAACTGAGATTGGAAGTACTCAGTACATCTGTCTATAAATCTATGCAAGTTAACGATTTGTGTCGCATCTGCCTCACAGATGACTTCTCTGATGCCTGACACCCTGTGCACAATAGTCCGAATGAGTTGGGGAATAGCCTGAGCGTATCTCCAGTGAGAGCGGCGGTCTTCGACTACAAGGCACGTTCGGAACACCAAACTTGCCGATCGCCGCGAAGGGTTCGCTTGAGTTGTCGACTGACAATGGGGTCTTTGTTTACTGGGAGAGTTCGAAGGCGGTCGAACAGTGCAGAGAGCGCGCACAGATCAAACCTTTCGAGGAGCTGACCTACAGGTTGTGTTGGTTATGGAGGACGGACGCCAGGTGACAAAGTGCCTGAAAGTTGAAGCTGCCGTTATCTTCCCACAGAGTGAGAATACTGGTTCCAATATCCGACCGATTCTCATTCAGTGCGCGATGACCACCAAGGTGGAATTTTCCTAGTAACAGGTGATCAAATCGTGCGTTGAAGCCTACTGCGAGAACAGTGAGGTCCGATTTGGCAGCTTGGAGTAACAGCTGCTGGAGTTGGTGATGGAAACCGTCCTTGATTGATTCACATATGTAACCGGTTAGTGCATAAGCGAAGAATACAAAAAGATTGCACCTTCTAGTGCAATGCCTGTTAACCCTTCATGAGAGTTGAGTGGACCTGCACATAGTCCGGTTGTCAACCGGAAAACAATTCAGGAGCGCGGCCTCGGCTTTGCTGCCTAATGTCACGCCAACGCCAGTGAAATGAGCTGAAGCTGCTTCCGCATCTCCAGACAAAGAGGTTGTATGTGGTATCCTGGTTGAGTGAAGATGTCAATTTAAGCACAGCGCTTGGGTCCTGCCATCGCGACGAGATGCGATGGGTTGTGTACCTTAGCGATCCACTTGGATATACTAGGTGGTGCTTCTGTACGTTCAGAACCACTCACACAGGATTGGTCAATGACTAGAGGTCTGACAAGCTCAGTCAACTGGTCCTCCAGGTTGAGGGCAGCTCCTTATTAAATAAAACGGACTCTTCCCGCACCGCCCACTGAATGCCCATCAATAACCTCCTCATTAGACCATACTGTCCCGTGTTCTCGGCGCCGTACTACGTTCGCACTCTAAAACAAGAAGGTCAACAGGCTGCACCCGCACGCACGTTAGACACGCTGGGTGTTGACGTGAGCCGCGTAACAGAAACTAGGAACAATGACCCTCAAGGGGTTGTTGAATTAAGTGCGTCCGGCTAGTGCTCTCGCTATTGGCTGCACGCATCCGGAGACGCTGATGCGGCAACCACTGGTCATGCTGGGGTGGACATCATCCACAGGACCAAGGCCGATTCATTGTTAGTTGGTTGGAACTACATGAACAGCTGTTTGTGTGTAGCCCGTTCGACGACATCAACTAAAACTGATTTACGAAATAGCACAAGACGCTGTTTATTTGTGGTTTCCACCTATGCCCCCAACGACCGCAGTTCTGAGGTTGCCAAGTATACCTTCAACCGCGAATGAACACGCTACTCCGCAGTGTTACCAGTTCAGGTATCATATTTATAGAAGGAAATATGAATAAGCAAGTAGGTCACCTGGACTCCTCAGGAGCTCAGCTAAGTGATAATTATGGGCTTAACTCCGAACAGACGGACAAGAGCGAGCGTGTGCTGCAAATGCGCGCGAGGCACCGGCTGCTTCCTTGTGGCACCGCTGTTAGATACAGTGGACACCGAAGTGCTACTTGGCATCCTCCTGTAGCTGGAAAGTGATGGACCCAAATTGCCATCAGTAACAGGCGGCGTGGTTCCATCCTGAATTGCCGCACGTTCTGGATTACTTGCGTCAACTCCAATCATGCATAGGTACGCTGTCATTTTTTCATGAGTATTACTGGGAGGCGTACCAATTGCATCCTTCGACTGGCAAACGAGTTATCTTAGTCCTCTGTCAAGCAAGTTTTCCAGGATGACCTGCGTACCGAATTTTCGCTGTCTTGTCCTAATGACACTGGGCTTCAGTGGAATAGGATCTCAGCCGCTGTGCACGTTGCAGGAGCACTTGTTTGCGGCACTATCAATCGTAAATGCACCAGTCATTGGATATTGGAGAGGTCGGGGAACCTGTTGGAACACAGAAGAAAAGTCCCTGCTAGTTCTGAACACAAAGTGACCAGACGACCTATTAGACGCGAACTAAAGCGGAGCTTACGTGCTGACAAAGACACCTGGTAGACTAGCATGGCTAAGAAATAGAGGAAGCAGAAGCAGAAGGCAATTATCGCAAGCTCTTCCAAATGATCCGCACTACTAGTCTCAGGAAACCAAGCATCAGCGAAACAATCAGAGACAGCCCGGATGCCAGTATTCACAATAAAGAGTGCTATATGGCTCGTTAAGCTCTTTCGAGAGCAGTTAAGTTGGCACCCTGCTTCCGGACCCCTTCATTCTTAGGCTATGCAGGATGAGCCATGGCCGATTAGTTTAGTAGTTTCATTGGAGGTTGGAATCCAAAACGCGATCACAACCCTCAATCGTTTTCTTGCTGCTGGTCCGGATTCTCTCGCATCCGCACTACTTAAGGATGGAGGTGAGGTCCTCTTCAAAACATTGAGCTCCCTGTTCGAACAGGTTTATAAAGAAGAGACCGTCCCAGAAAACTGGAGTGAATTGATTATAGTGGCAATATACAAGAAGGGCAGCCGCACAGACTGTGCTAATCACAGAAGTATTACCTTAACTCCGGTGGTGACAAAATTACTGGCCTCAATTCTCATTCATCGCCTCACTACGGAACGGTAATCTCGGGTTAGGTAAAAACAGGCAGGTTTCCGCCCAGGACGCGGCTGTTTAGACCATATATTCATTCTGCGGCAGGTGCTAGAGCAGCGCCACGCACACCGCAGACCGACAATAACTGTGTTCCTTGATTTCAACGGCGCGTTCGATTCAGTCCATCGATGCATCCTATTCGAAATACTTGCGCGGAAAGGTGTTCCCACGGAATATGCGAACATCCTACATGCTCTTTACTCGAACACCATAGATCACGTAAGAATTTAGTGACCTCTCGGATAACTTTCCGATAAGTGGCGCTCGTCAGGGTTTTCCAATTCCCCCTTGTGGAGCCTCCCGATCCAGGCTGTTTGGTGAAAGGCTAGTTAATCTTGACTATGCAGACGCTATTGTCTTGCGGTTTAACGATGTTGGGGCGGCACAATCAGCCTTGAATAGGGTGTCTAGAGTGGTCCAATTATTTGGTACGCGCTTCGCATCTTCAAAGTGCTAAGTGTTGCTGCATGGCCACCAGGCACTTGATGACACTTTGACTCTTGACGGCAAGGAACTCGAGGTAGTTGATCACTTCACCTACCTTGGCAGCTGCATCAGAAACGATGAGCGCATAACCATTGAAATCAGTACATGAATTGCAAATGCCAGAATTGCCTATGCGAATTTGCGACATCTATGGCCTCAAAAATGGTTTCCCTCATTCAGGAAGGCCATGTGTATAAGGCCACAGTGAGGGCTGTTCTACTTTAAAGGAGTGCGACTTGGCCCCTTTGATCTGAGCAGCTGCGGCATAACATTGCTTCTGACAGACGCACCAGCGTGTTCGCAACAATCATGTGCGTAGGCTAGTATCAGGCAGTGATAATCATGCTAGTTCATTAGAACAATAGATAGCAATGGATAAGTTGCGTTGGCTTGGGCACGTACTGCGTACGCCTAATCACTGCTTACCGAGGAGGGTGTTGCTTTTTTGCCACATGTAGGGTGGTGCAAGGCCCGAAGTGGGAAAACCTGAGAGCGGTAAATGCAGTCAATAACGACCAACATAGGTGCCGTCAGTCAGTCTCGCCTTTCAGTCTAAAGTCCACGTGATTCGCCTTGTGTTTGGCTCGAGATTTTACAGGACATGGCTCGCAATCGACACCGCCGTCTCCTAGTCGGAGTGCCTATTTAAAATGTGTTTAGTGCTGAGTTATCTGCGGGGTAATGGCTGATCATGACGCGTGGCAGCGAAAGCGCAAGGAAGCTGTCTCGCCGATGCCGACTTATCTTTGTACGATAGTCAGCTGTTTGTGACAGTATGTTATTAACATAACGTGTAGGCGTCTTGACCCTGAATGTTTGCTTAGGGCATTAAGATTTTCCGGTAAGCCCCTTCTCCTTTGTTCCGTAGGTCGGCGTGGTTGTACGATAGTGAAGGATTAGTCCATATGTATTGCTGTTGACGATGATTGCGGTGTAATTACGGAAGCATAACATGGGGATTAGAGTGAGTACGGAACCGACCTGTTTGTCCAGAGCGTCGCGCTCGCCACGCAGCTCATCTGCTTCTGATCGAGTGCGCCGCGCCTCGGCTATTAGACGTTGGTGATCTTCGCGACTTGTAGCAACGTCTGATTCCACTTGGGAAATCCGTTTGCGAAGAAGGTCGCATTCCTCTCGCACTGATAACAGCAGTTTTGATTTCATGGTATCTAAAAAAAATAAAACGACGTTAAGAGGTAGCACAGTGAGTGGATCGATTGCGTCAATAATAACATTTTTTAAATCATCATAATATGGAAGGTTTTGAGATCGTTAGTATAGCGAAACGCACCTTGTTGCTGAAGCGCTCCAACCATTCGCTTGTACGACTCAGCTTCGTTTAGGGATGCCTGTAGTTCATCTATATAGAAATCGTGAATGCTTAATCATAGTGCAGTATACGAAATAGGAAAATAAAAGTACAGTAATTGACAGAACCGCCTGCGTGTGTGTGGAACTGGATTGCACGACCGCTGCATGTCTCACCTGAGACAGCAAATATAGACACACACTATACGTGTGTTATCATCAAGCAACTGTGCTTCAGTGCACTGCTCTATAAGTTAACTAATTTGAGACGAGGCTAAGAAACCGGCCTACTTTGATTGTTGACCAGCAAGGAAAAAAACAGTTGGGGACGGAAACCGACGAATAGTATCTGAGACGTCGTCTATTTCGAAGCGACCAATGACAGAAGACACACCGGACTGTACACGAGACGGCACTATTTGACTGATGCCCACACTCGAACAATGTACACATTCAACCATGGGTATTCAAATTGATTGACATTCCAAAATATGTGTGTGTCGAGGTGCGCCCAGATAGCAGACGTCCAAAATGGAAACGCACCATTGGATGCAGCAGCGGCCCGCTGTCTCACCGATAGTGAGCCTCAAATGGAGCTAGTGAACGGATACAGAGCAGCAGCGATAAACAACGAACACACCTGCTTCACTACCAAACTGCCTAGGTGAGTTATCATCTGTCTGGTCGCAAACGTCAAACAGGTAAGAGAACACATCAAAAGGATGAGCTGAATCCACGTGTTCACCTGCAGCCCGTGAATAGGCTAAGCTGCACAGAAGGATAATGAACAAGAAAAATCATCGGTGAAGCCGTGGTAACTAGAAGTTCTCAGTTTATGGTATCAGCCAGTGTTCGTAACCGGTCTTGTGTTGCCTTGGTTATGGTCGTTCCTCTCGAATCAGAATCGATGCCATAGCTAAATGACCTTCGACATTAACAAGACCGCTGCGCGCTAAATGACCTTGTTCGTACAATGTGAGGAAACAGTTAGAGGGAATACGTGAAATAACTCATATTACTGCTTTCAGATGTGACAATTTCTTTGGCCTTGGAACAATGTAATTAGAGGATGCACACAAGCAACTCGACTGTGGCACATACATGCATGTCATGCGCTAAATTTGGATAGTATTAGCAAAAGGTCTAGTCAGGGGCATAGTTAATATTGAAACACCACCCTAACAGTTGAAACGTGGAAGCATTTTGGTCGTCGATTAAAAATTTGGTATGCTGCCCGCTGCGCGCCTGAGCCCTAGAAGCGCGCGGCGCTGCGCTGAGATGTTTGTGAGCACTGAGGCAACGACTGTTTATCAGAGAACGTTGCACAGTCGTCAAGGTGTTACCGGCAGACGGAGTCACCAATAAGTTTGTCGACAGGTGAAGTTGTAGTGAGAACAGCGTGAAAATGTGGAAACATAAAAAAGAAACAGACGTACCGCGAAGCTTATATACCTCTCCTTCGTCTAAGGAAGACTGAACTTCAGAGTCGACTAGACCTGGTAACTCAGGAGTCGTCGGAAAGGTGATACAAGGGACTAGTGCGGTCGTTGCTGAGGACGAAGCAGTCAAGCACGCGTCCGGATCCGGCTGCACAGCAGGTTTGTCGGTAAGCGTTTCAGGCAGCGAGCCAACATCGCCTAATTGGAAACGAAAACAAAAGCGGACTTGATAGAGTGAAAAGTTAACAGTTTTGTTTCACTGAAACGAAAGCAGATAGTGAAGTTCGTAAACAAAAAATGATATAAGAAGAAACTAAAAACACTGTATCAGATAGGAGAGAAGGAAAGCAATGTAATCCAAACTGCAGCTAGTGTTGGCCATGGGTGAGAAAGATTGCAGAGTGTGTGGAACGAAAGTTGAAGAGACAATGGATAGAGTGACCGAGTGGTTAAGTGAAGCATTCATAGCTTTGTCGGAGAAAGTAAGCTCTCATATAGGAAACACTACAAACCGCTCGACAAAAGAAATATGGGAATCTCGGTATTTAGGTGGAAAATCAATGAAACAAATTGCCGGTTATCTCTCAAAGGCCGGCTTAAATGAATTTGTAAGCCAGACATCATAAAAACATTTCATTATTGGCGTATAAGCTGGCAGGTAGTTGAACTCTTTCGTGATAAGGATAGAGTAACAAAGTCAGGAACACAGTAAAACAAATTACCAACGAAAGTTTGGAGACAACCAAAGGCATTGTGCTGGCTGGCTGGGAATGCAGCCTCAGATGTAGACAATGGGCATGCCCAACCCATCCTCGCCAGTAACGTGAGATGGATTCTCAGAACCATTGTGGACCTCAGTGAATTCATGTAACGAAGGAAGCGTAGAAATACAGGTTCGCTGCATCTTGATGTGAAAGTATTAAACTCGATGGTCATTGCCTTGTTAGGTCAAACCGTTATTGAAAGTTACAGTAGTGGAATGGAGGAGGCATCGTTTTCATTAACAAGTTGGTGCAATTGGGAAACCATCGTGCTCAAATGCTGAAGCATCCCTGTAAGCTATCCTCTGATCGAATACAAACTAACTATTTCGATCACCTTCAAATTCGCTTACACAGCGTACAACACACACGTCAAAACCAACATGTTTAGTGGATCAAGTATCCTCGATACTACTGTTGAAACCACAATGCTCTAGTTGCAACGTTCCTACTGACTTCAATATAAGGGATGCAATACTCATAAAGATGCAAGGTTTGGTAAAGTTAATGACTTACTAGACCAGATATTATGTGTAGCTATATGCTCCTTACACCAAAAGCCAGTGGAGATCGGGTGTTAGGTGTACGGTACAAAAGCATATTTTTTTACTAAGGCAGACCAGTATATCCTAAAATTGTGTTCCCATAGTAGCAGAGCCAATTTTGTCACGCGGACAAAGCGGCGTTCATCATCATCATCATACACGTTAGCTAGAGGTGGGAAACACCTCAGCTACTGTGCCGCAATACAAAGCGGCGTTCAAAAGCTGGCAAACAACGAAACTGCTCAGAGAACAATATCGTGATATTCCAATCGATGCGCCCTTGAATTGATCTTTTAGTCTTCAGTTACGGCGACTTGTCGGTTTCATGTAAGCAAGTTACGGATGCCCTGATTTCTGCTTTCACCTGTGGTGTCCTAATGAAACAATCTACTTACAAACAGCTTGGCATCATAACCGTTTTGGAGGAAAAACAAACGGGTTTATAAGTGCAAAGATAGTTAATCGCATCAAAAGTCCAACTTAAGCAATACAAGCTGAGATGGTTAGAGTGAACAGTTTGAAGACAGAAGCGGTTTCAGGCAACCGAAGTTGTCGTTGAGGAGTTTTGAAGCGACACAGGGCTAAAAGTGCCGGGAGTGGAAGTGGTACATTAAGTGTGGACAAACTCCGGACTGAGTATGGCTCCAACAAAGCAAGTGCATCTTCACTACCTTCCCACTCATCGGCTCAAACTCAATTGACGCATTTGATCAAGGCGATGTCCAAGGGGAGGTTAAAAGACGAATAAAGTGAACAGTGTGTATGATATTCAACCAGTAGATTTAGAAGAACGTTTCGACGCCGGTGCAATCCACGTTGCATGCAACTAATTCCACTCAAAAACCTCAAGATATCAAAAACGAACAATATTTGTGCGGGAGGGTCTGATTTCAGATTATTTCGTGTCTTCTCAATCAGCCGCGTAGGCCGAGTTAATTACTGTCTTATAAATTTCCATTGGAAATGGCTTTGATCATACGAGACAGTTGAATTTAAGCTGATGAGAAGGCTGAAAGGATACAATTGCGTTGATTGAGTTTGTCCATATCTGCTATAGCACTTCCACTCCCGGAACTTTTAACGTTGAGCTGCTTCAAAACTCCTCATAGATCACGAGAACCGTGGCTTACTAAGAAAACACGAAATAAGTTGAATTCAGGCAATCCACGTTAGATGGAAATCGGCCAAAACAATTCCCGTGTCCAAATTGTGTATACAAATGTGATGCACAAAGTCTTCGAAAACTGTAGAACCCAGTGATTTTCCCAACTACTTCCAGCAGTTAGACAATAGATTTCAGCACCCCGCAATGGATGCCACAGTGTACGTTTTTTTCCCTCCCACAGCGTTTGTATTGGGACAAAAAATGCTAACCTATGCGGCTAGCTTCCTTGGCTATTCGTACATCCTCAGAAATCATGACAGAGTAAAGTCGTTCAGTTTGCCTGTTGACAGTAGGGGAATTGTCACGCCGCCGAGTGTTGTCGGCCGTTGTTTTAAATAAATAAATGCAGATGTAAAAATGTAATGGAGCCAGAAAATGGCATGCACCTGAAGTATGACAAGCAGATGCGCTTTTGCGTTTGCACAAAGCACAAAAAGACGACAAGCTGGTCTCAGCGCGTGCGTGACACTCGGCGACACGGGCCGTCAGCTTAGTCACTCGAAAAAGCGCGGCAGAAAAGACCTGATCCTTCGATTCCGGATCACTTTTAGCAGAATATGAAGTGACTTCGGTCGATCGGTTGGGATGGTTTCCATCGTTCACTGTCGTATCCAGAATGTGGTGGTGTGAATCGGGATTGGACGCATGGAGTCCTCGGAACAAAGTAGACTTCAATTGAGAGAGGAGAACTAGTTCGTCTGAAAAGACAAAAGAGGGTTAAATAAGACCAAAAAGAGTCTCGAGATGGGTACTTGTAATCATGTAGTCCCGCAAGCTGATTCATAGAAATGGCGATCGGTGCGCACATAACCGAATCGTTGAAAGAAGAGGCAAACCGGATGCAACATTTAGAACAGAAAACTGGAGCCAGTAGACAAGTTAGGACGAAGAAGATAGATGAGTTGCACGAGACTGCGCATGCAGTAATGTGAACGGAACGCTGGGCCAGCACTAGCTGATTCCAGTAAAAAAGAATTTTCGAGTGTGCAGGATTGTGCCCAACATGGCTGCAGCACACAATTCGATGAAACATGAATGGAAAACAGGTAACAAAGCAGACACAAAGAGAGTAAGTCGTTCGGGAAAATAGTGAAAAAGGAAATGGCGTGAGGAGGATTAGAAACCGCACGTTCACCAGTTGCGGCAATCGAATATGTATGCAGCGATGGCCAAAGGAGACTAATCCCACAGAAATGGCTCCCATTCATTCATTAAACACGTTAGCCAGAGGAGAAAAATACATCAGCTACTGCGCCGTAATCCATAAAAGAAAAAAGGAAAACAAAGTTAACAGTTGTATGCCAGCTGATCTACCAGCAACGGATGGGTATCGTTCCGGAGGGATAGCAGCCGGCTACTAGGAAACAGAAAAATTCTTATGTAGAAATATATTATGCTGTGAAATGACATCGTGATAGGAGGGGGAAGCTAGAAGGGATGGGGAGGGACAAAAAACTCACAGCAGAAACGCCACTGATGTCGGATCCTAGCCATGTCAGCAAGTGTATCCAGCCAGACATGTTCAAGGTCTTGGACCTCAACCAGGGATCCGTGAAGCGCCAACCGAGGGCAGTTTCGAAATGAGGGCCTACATTCTTCTCGACCAAGTCATCGCTTGGCCACCCCTCCGCTTCTTCCATCCACACCCCCGGCGAGCAAACAACGCACGTCGCGGAAGTCGGTGGGCTGGCAGGCGCAACACGTGACCAAGCCATCGGAGTCTGGTGCGTGAAATGACGGTACTGAGAGGTTCAGTTCCTTTTTCTTGTACCGTAAACAAACAGTCAAAGACGCCCGTTGCTCATGCGGTGTTCCTACCAGATGTGAGCCAAACTGCGAAGTCACCGGTGGTCGAACGTAACTAGCCTGTTTATGTCCGCTGATCTAAGGGGGCAGGTTTCGCAGCCGTACAGTAGTGTCGAACGTACAGATGCATTGTACACTCTACCCTTCAGAGGGACAGTGATGTCGCGCAGCCGCCATAGGTGGCGATGGTTAGCAAAAGCACTTCGAGCTTTCGCTATGCGGTTCGTGATCCCATCTTCAATCTCACGGGCGCTGATACAACTTCCCAGCCAGTTGAATTTCTGAACGACTTGTGACTGATCCCTACCAAGGGTCACTTCGATGGTGCAAAGCAAAGGCCGAAGCGGCTGACAGCCAGTGCTAGTCTGTCCAGTGCAGCTTGGCACGCCTGGGAGCTGTCACAGATGAGGGCAATGTCGTCTGCATACTCCAAGTCAAGAAGTTGTTCTCCTGGGAGTAGATCCACACCTAAGTCGTGTCCTGTGAACGCGATTTCCCTGAGTTCGTCAATAGCGAAATTGAAGAGGAAAGGTGACAACGGGCATCCTTGTCTCACGCCGCTGGGGAAAATGAAGGGCGGCGACAGCTTGTCGTAAGCCCTAACACTGCTCGTGCTACGCTCGTATAGTGCGCGGGTAATAATTACATATTTCTCGGGCACACCTTTCCTGAGTAGACAGTCATAAAGAGCACATCGATCAACCGAATCGAAGGCACCTTTGTTGTCAAGGAACACAACGGTGCGACGCCGATATGTGTGACGGTGCTCCAACAATTGACGCAAAGTGATGATGTGGTCGATGTGGCGCCGACCCCTACGAAAGCCGGCTTGCTTCTCACGAATCTGACTTTCACGAGCGCCAGTCAGTCTGTGATGGATTACAGAGGCAAGTAATTTGGAGGCGATGGGGATCAGACTGATTACTCTATGATTGCTGCATTCCGAACGCGAGTCTCCTTTGAAGATAGCAACTATAATGGAGCGGCTCCAGTCGGTTGGGACAACTTCCTGCTCCCACAGTTTCACTAGTAATTCATATAAATCACCAACAAGAGGGAGCCCGTGTTTGAAGAGCGCTGGATGTAGATCACCTGGTCCCGCGGCAGTATCCAACTTCAACAGTCCGATCTCACGTTCTAGTTCTAAGCGACCTAGCCATCGGACAACACACATCCGGCTACTGATTGGAATCCAATCAACCAGGTCAGTTACAGCCCGGAACCTCAGGGCAATGCCAACACCAGCTTGACCTGTGCTAGAAGCTGCATCGTCACCGGATAGGCGCAATGAGAAAATATTGCTAGTGTCACCTGAACGGGATCGCAGAGTGAGCACAGAGCTCGAGTATTACAGGTGGGTCTCCGATAAGCAGCATATATCGATGGAGTGAGTCTCTAATGTTTGGGCAAGTGCTGCCTGTTAACCGATCTGTAGCAATGTGCGTACATTGAGGCATACCAATCCGAAGGAAGATGGAGTGCTTCACATGGAAAACGGTGAACTGGGGTGGAACGCTTGGTTGGACATGGGCTTGTCGACAGGACAGAAGTGACGCTTCGCGTTTGCATGTGAGTTGAAACTAGAAGATAAACGCCTAGCAAAGCATGTTAGGGGAGGGCCAAGAAACGAGGGGTTGAAAACTGGAGGGGGGGAATTAGAGTTGGAACGGGACGATAAGGGTGAAAAGTCGAAAGAGGGGAAATAAGGAGGAAGGAAGGTTTGAGTAGTAGCATAAAATCACCTATCCACCCTGCTCGATACAGCAGATAGGGCGCCGTTTATTATCCTATGCGACGGCCAGAGCATCAAGAAAATGTTTGAAGAGAAATTCATTGTATTGCGTGGGCAGGATACTGTCAGACTGCCCAGGTCTAAACCGGAGAACGATTAGGGTTCTCAACCAAAGTGTTTGGTTCAAAAACCTGACCGCAAGGCAGCGGGTTTGGCGGTGGGCTACAAGGAGTCCGTTTGAAGGAATAAGAAACCAGTCTCATCCTAACCCCCAACCGGGAGGACCAGAAGACTGAGTTTCTCTGGCCTCTAACCATTGACCAATCTGGGATGAGTGAATCTGAAGGTGCAAAAAAGCATCACCCAGCATATCTCAATGGATCGCTGAGGCACACAAACCATCGCACCACGGTAAGGTCCAGTCTGATCACGATGATCACTATAGACAGGTATGCACATGTTCAATTGGAGGGGAGAGGATAGTAAAAGATCAAGCTAAATTCAGGTGGAAACAAATGATGCATTCATAGACAGCGGTGCGGAGGCGGGAACTGGGGCGGGTATCCGACCGCTGAAGAACGACCAAAATATGTTGTAACGAAGCCAGACTGATAACACTACATGAGCTGATAGAGGGGTATCATCTATGATTAGACCTAGCAAGTGTGCATAGAATAGCAAGATGAAGAACTCGTGATCTTAAGGAGAGGGTTTTTTTGCAGATACCTGGACAGCAGCATGTGGTTTCCAAAGATATCGCTCAAGCTGAATTAAAGGGGATAAATTAAACTGTGTGAGATTGAGTGAGGAGTGGTGATTTGTTGAGGTTGTTAAAGTGACATTCCGAATTAAAGCATGGGGTCAGTTACATATATCATGTAAAAGATGGACACAATGAAGGAAGTAAATAGTGGATTTAAAGATAGGGTGGAATAAAACCTAGACTGAGGACTCGACGAAGCGAAGGTGAAAGAGAAGAACAATATAGAATGGACTGAAAGTAACAGAGGAATCTGGGAATCCTGTAAGGTGGCCAGTTGTGTAGAGAACCATTACATTACATGGACGAGAAACGAGTGGGATGGCCATACCTAGGCGGAATGATGGTGGTACGCGTTCGAAGCGTTTAGTTAAGACGATAAGTACAAGGTCGATCGCAAGTGCACAAACCTACTGAATGGATTGTAACACGTAATCCCAATCTCGATCGCGAGTTACTTTAGTGGGCCCCAGTTAATTCGGTCACCGAGACCAAAATTGAAACAAAATAGGAGTTGGGGTTTGCTAGCTCGCAACGCTTCCCTCCATGGTGGGAACCGCACCTGAATGCATGCAGCAAGCAGAGATCGTGTGCTGACATCTTCCCCACTATGTAACCGGTCATGGAGTGTGCAGTGATGTGAACGAAACAATGCGTAGATGCAAAGTCTCAATTAAGAGGCTGAAATACTTCCGTTGCCAAAATGTCATCAACTACCTTGAAGGTGCTCCCAGATTAGCTCAATGCGCTACTGTGAATTCGCAGACAGTATTTCCACTCCAGATTGAAATGACAGTTGGTTAGCATGTCGGACAATGTGAGAGAACCGAGCTAAAGTAACCACTGCGAAGAAGCTTTGGGAATCAATTCCAACGTATGGTTCATCTTCTTGAAGGATAATATGAAGGAGGTATGCGAATTTTGCTGTGAAAGACAAAGTGACGCAAACGAGTAGCGTGAGGGAGCAGACCAGAATGGCATGTGAGCTAATGTTTGACCACAGAAAGTGTGTACAACAGAAGCATGTAACTAAACAGTGTCACAACGCGAGCAAACACGACAGCAACATGCCAAGCTATTACCAAATTACTCAGAAGTGCACATCGGTTGATAGGCACAAACAAGATAGGCGTAGCTATTTGCACGCAAAAAATTAGGACGAGGATGCGAATGCGGGGTGTAGCAATGAAGCATAACAGAAATTCATACCTTTAAGGGAACCAATAAGCTGCAACGACTGATGCAGCTGCCGGATACCATCTACGAGATGCGACGAGATGCCATCTGCGGTGGAGTCTAGCACTTGTTCGAGATCGGCTTCGGAATGCGCAAGACTTTCTGAAGAAACGGAGGAGTAATCACATAGATTGTGAATGCACAAAAAGGGCAGCCCAATGTCCAGCAAAACGAAAATGTCACTCAACAAAGGCTTGTATTGGAGAAAAATACCGTAAGGTGGCTACATCGGGGAAACGGAAACGCACGGAAAAAAGGACAAATAAATGAACAATGTTAACCGCTCGTTGGATAGAGCAATCAGTTATGAGGACAGTTCGGCAAACGTGGCACAAAGTACTTGTTAGAAAAGGAAAAAGCATCATTGCATACGGAATATACCGAACCCAATGACTAGAGCAGTAAATTCCCGGCAACCACGATATTAAGTGAAATCAGATGTGGAGAGAAAGGATTAAAGAGTGCCGAATAAAAAAGCGTACGCATATATAAACCTACTTTTACGTAACGAGATCGGTACGCGGTAGCAGCTGGTACGAACAAGGGTGCCACTCAGGATGATGTGCGCTTCGTTAGTTTGATTCATAATGGTTACGTAACTCTTAGCCACAACTCGAAGTTAGCAAACTAACTAGAAGTCGGATAGAGCATTATTAAACTGTTGTCAAACTTCATTCCTGATGCGTTGTTGAGTGTGTCAAAGAATCAAGAGTAACAGTCAAGAAACGTGAAATGAAATCTCTTGCCAGTTGTTTGGTGTCCTCTGTTTACTCTCCACCGTATTTTCCGCAGGTAAATCAGAAATACTACTCCAACACCGCGGTCCATATTAGTAATCAAGATAGGTACTTCATAGCAAGGGCGATCACAGAAAAGGTTGCGCTCGCGCACCCTTCACACTTTGCGAGAGCTAGAAGGTAATGTGCCTCCAGAAGTTGTGCACTTGCAAACGTGAGCATGGGAGTGGGTGTGGACAAATCTCGGAGGAGAACCTTACACTTCGAGGAGGCGAAGTCCACACCAAAGATGCTTCAACTGCCAAACGATTCACATTTTCTGGCACCCGTTCTTTAGCAGGCAACACCATAAAGCAGGTAGATCGAGTCAAATGCAACGCGTATGTCTGGGAATGCGAAGACAGTGAACTTTTGGTAAATGTGGTGGTGTTCGAGAGGTTGGCGGAGGATGAAGATTTGATCCACGTTTCGACGACCTCAATTCTTATTCAAGGTAGTTTGATTCACGTATTGAGGATTGTCTGCGAAGCAGAATGGATACCAGTATCTTGGTTGCAACCGAAATGAGGCTAACCCATCGATGAAGTGTGATCGCCTTTCTTGAAAATTGGGACGATAACTGATTTACCCCAAGAGGCACTTTTTCTTCATACCAGATTTATGCCAACAACCAGTTCAGCCGACTGATAATAGTCACGCCGCCGTACCGGAACAGTCCTGGATGAAGTCAGACTGAGTCGGCAATCTTGAATCGCTTCAACCGTCCATGATTACTGGAAGGCTGAAGGCGGGACAGACGGGTCGTTTAAATAGTTAAATTAACCACTCTCCCATTAGAGGCTAAAATTGACTACTGCAGTTAATGGATCTGCGAACAGTACGACGCATAAGGATGACCTAGTATCTTTCAAGTCCCAGTTGTCAAACCGTGTTGGTCAGATTCACCAGCTCCCTTATCGGCCAGTGATTGCCGCTCTCCGTTGGCTGTCACCTTGCATCCAATCTCTCGCTCAGAAGGCTGTCATGAGATTGGAATGCTGAAATTATATAAGGCTTAATCCCGCTCTCTTCAAATTCGAGGACTTGACTTTGTTGATGGTTCGCACGTTTGTAACAATGAAGATGTATACGAAGAAGACCAGTTGCCCTGTCATCGCATCGATTTTCAAGGTGGGCTCCTGTTAAGAATGCACAATCATAGAGGGATAAGTCTGATCTCCAATGCCTTCAAGTAACTTGCCTCCGTCGTTCTTCATGGGCTGACTGGCGCCCTTGAAGGCTAGATTCGTGAAGAGAAACCATGGTTTCGTCGAAGCCGTGTTGGGAAAAGGCCAGTTTTCCCAAGAGTTACTACAAGAAGTAACTAACTAAAATGCAGGTTTATTATTATCTATCATTTTGATTTGAAAACTGCGCATGAAAATTTGTTCCTGCCTTTAGACCAGGACCGTGATTGGCCAATCTCATAAGGTCGTTAGTTATTAATACCTACGTGTTTCATTGGTGGACGCTTGAGTTGTCATCAGAATAGATCTTCGGAAATTTTGTCTCGGGCCTTGTTGGGGTTGGAGCTATCGATTGGAAGCCGAGGTTGAGTTCTGTTCGTGAGCTGAGTTGTATTGCGCTTGTGGGCTTACCGTGCCTGCGTGTATTCGTCGTGCTGAATTGCGATAGCGACCATTGGATCGTAACACCGAAGCTGCATTTACCGCATGTTTAATTTTAGTCAGTCATTGGAACACCGCCATTTATATGGGTAACCCATCGTAGTCGTGTTCCTCGAGATCAAAAGTGCCGTCAGTGCGGTGGATCGATGGGCCTGTCCAGGAAAAGTGTACCCGATAAATATGTAAATACTCGGGTAAAGTGAGGGTTTATAGGAAACTGTGGCTGCCCTTTAGTATTATTAGCGGTGTGAAGTGATGATGCCAGCTGTCGCCTTTTTCAACTCAGCGATTGACAGAGTTACGGGAACTACGTTCACATGGCACGACTCCGATATAGAGTTGCTCCTGAGTGACCAGTTTCTCGAGTTGGTATGTCGACGATTACAATATCGATTCATAGTAGAAACAAAGTGGAACACTATTCGTCATATCTTGAAATAATCTGTTGACTTTGTCTCTTTTTTCTTGTGGTCTATTAAATCGTATTGCATCGCGTCACAATAGCTGAGGTGTTTCTCACCCTTAGTTAACGTGTGATGATAAGTATGTCAAAGCCGAATTGCAGTTTTGAGCAGCGTTACATGGCTGGACAACGAAACGCCCTTCAGAGCGGAAAGTTGTGCACTACAGTTAGTGGGATCGCGTATATGAAGGCTAACTCATTATGCACATGTTGGGTTTAACAACTACGCTACATGGACACTAAGCAATGAGTGCTTGGTTCTCGAATGACCACTCATATACGAGATAAGACTTCACAGTCCAATATGCGGAGCATATGGCGTCACTGAACAGATGTGCGGATGCTGATCCGAGAGATGAAAGTACTTGTAGACATGCCCACACTTGATGGAAAAGTGGTTGCTTACGGTGGATTCGTTCAGTGATTAATGGAGTTGAGACGGTGATCACAAATAGTGCTAAAATGATACTGAACAAGCGTCGTTTCGAGTTCGCTCGACGCGGAAAAAAGAAGATGCGGTTTCGGTTAACCTAGAACAATTTATCATTAGCCACCATCATAGCAACAACAAAAAACTCACAGCTAAGCAAGAACCAGCACACTGGTCGGCCGGTGGCCGAGTGATCTGCGCGCTTGATGTACAACCATAAGGTCACCGGTTCAAATCCGCGTAGGGGTGGGCGTCTATATGGTATACTCAGCCCGCGCGCCACTGGTGGTGGTCGCGCGGCAGTGAAGCGCCGCTACAGCGTACAACTGACTTAGCACTATTTTTATTTACCAGCACACTGTGCTATTGATATGGGTTCTACACGATGATAGTTTAGTAGAATGGAAATTTGTTATTCAGCCGAAAGTACCATAATGTGAGGCTGCATGACCGCCTGGAAACGAAGGGGTGCTCTCAATGGTGTACACAACCGAACGGCCTTAGTAGTGATGCTGTTATGTCACAGTTTCAAAAATGAGACTACCTATTGCAACAGGTTGGCAAATTTAAGCACTTTCAGGACCGTAGCTATTACGGCATTTGTAGAGGCACATGAACTGATCAGCTACTCCGAGATCCAGGTTATCAATAAATAAAGAGATAAAAAGTCGTTAGCAGTTTTGTGGGAGCACCTAATATGTCAAGGGAGCAAACCACACACTAAATAATAGGACTGTCCTAAGTAGTTTATCCAAAGATTGCCGCACTGACTCGTGATTACCAAGTAGAAGAGAAATATCGTTCGCGTTACCGTGTTCGGTGTGTGGCAGTGTCCTAGAAATTTGTTGTGAAAATAACGCTAACATAGCCACTCACAGTGGGAAAGCTTATTTTCCTGCATCAGGAATTCTCGTTCTGATGCGAGCCGGTGAGTGAAAATAGAACAAGCAATCCACGACTTCCAGTGACAAACTGATACGCCTTGCGACTGCTTTTTATGAGTGTCGCTAACATGACTGGGTTATTACAGTTGGTTTAGAAGATCTAATTTTTACACCTCGGTAGGAAAAAAGCATATAATGGTCAACTTCTAACTTGGCAGAGGCTGACTCAAAGTCAACCGAGGCTACATTTGAGATTGCATGTCGCAATCGAAGACACGCGGCGGGTGCTCCAAAACCCGAAAATCAACTAATAACCGCTGTGTCAAGTACTGCTCGCGGAGCTCAATGGCCTAGTGAGCATGGTTATAGCCGCCAAGCACTATACGCCGAGTTACACTCCTAGCTCAACTATCTTCAGCTGATGAGTCCAAACTAGGACGAAACCGTCGGTCGTGAAAAGCAGAGATGGAAGTGAGCCAAAACGAAATCCGCCGAAATGGCACAATCCTTTACAGAGGACCACAAAACCATCCTTGAATAACGAGGACATGAGAAAATAGGGACCAGCAACGCGGAGAAGGTTGAGGGTGGTCAAAGTACTTCGGATTACTAATGCAGTCGGACCATCCAAGTCAGCTGACGGTGGTTCAACCTGTACGATCTGAATAAGGGGCCCAGTGAAAGAATTTTTCAGTAGATCATTGTTAGTCTGACACAGAAGAATGAGAGAACTAATTTGGTGCCCCAACATAGGAATGAGTTCGACAAAGTGGGCAGTGAGTAGTCCATAATAGTTATGGTAAAACGCCAGTGATACAAGAGACAACAGATAACGACCTTGAATTTCGCAGAGCCGATTCAATTCTGTTAATTCTGCAATTGCAACTTCGGCGCGCATGTTATCAGTGCGTTTGCTCAAAGAAGACTGCAGTTCTTCCGCCGTTCCAACCATATCTGAAACAATAACAGCAACACGGTAATGATAATCGGGGTGATGTAAGAAGTGGACACTGAAAGCACAACAGGAGGTGGAATGAGATGTCAGTCGAAACAACGAATCAGTCGAATGATGGGTGACTGGTGCTAATGAAAGAGTGGACAAGTAACAAATGACAAGTATGTGCTTTTGAGTGATCAGCATTCAAAAGGAGTGAAGTGAGGAAATGCCGACGAAGAGGATGAAATAAATGGCCATAGGAAACAAGAAACTAAAAATACGGTGGGGCGATTTTCTTGCGTTGCCTCATCGTTTATAGATGCGTCTTGGTTAAATCATGCAGGGAAATGTTTCTCTGAAAGAGCACTTCATTTGCTGAATGTGGAGTCGTGGGTAACAGTCGAAGCCGTGGGTCTTCTATTGCAAATGGTCCGGATCATTTAATGCACGTGGAAGTAAATAGCAAAAGAAAACAGACCAATGCACTAGACAAGAGATCAGGCGTAGACAACAGAAACTCTGCTGTGAAAGGAGCCAAGAACACTGAACGCTCATCAAAAACAGGGCATGAACGTAAGGACAAGTATTCGACCAAGTGACAAGGCATCGCATAGTTTTGTTGCCCTACAGGACCATTAACCGCCTTGTGAGCTAGTGAAATTACGTGTAATTCAAAGCCTGTACAGTTGTGTTTAGTAGAATCGATGAACCGTTGAAAATTCCACAATGGAACCATATGCTTCGTTGAAGCAAGAGGGATTTGTCAAGAGAATGTAATTGTTGTCGAAAACGGTCCACTTAGACGTGGGATACATGTAATGTTACAGAAGTACGAACAGCCAGTCAAAGAACTAAAATCAGTGACAAAACGTGCAAACAGGTGAAATGGAACGTGTGCTTTGACTAAAAAAGTGTTGGGGGCGAGTAATATCGAATACCCTCTAATGTACATAAGTTTCGTTTGGTCGGATATCACAGAAGATGGTGAATCTCCGGGTGGCCGCATCCGTCTTTAGAGACGACTTTGCCGGAGTGGATTGAGTCAAACAGATGGCGCGCGTCATTGTAAACAGAGGTTAGAGGAGCTGCTGGGATTAAATGCATCGTTGCTCGTTCAGACGCAAACCAGTGCACAAACGTTCATGTATTCACAATTCAAGATCCTTCAGTAACACACCGAAGCATATTTGTTCAAATTAAATGTATTAAGAATCCGATGGAACAAGTTGTCCTCAAATAGGGAACCTCAGTCTACCGAATCCGCTACACTTGTATCTGACGATGTGTCAGAAAAACAAACTAATAACAAAACAGTATATCTAAAGAACCAGGAGAGCATGCGATTAAAAACGTCAGAATATAGCTATCTTGTCAATGTGCTCCTTCATCAATACACGTTAGCTGAGGGTGAGAAACACACCTCAGCTAATGTGCCGCAATACAAACAGATGACAGTAAAAAAATTACACCAAAAAAGGACTCCAAGTAAGTATTATGAATTAAATATCATATTATGCCTTTTGCATGGGATCGAAATTAGAGGGAGAATCTAAAAGTGAGGGGAATGGAAAAAAAGCTTACAACTAAAACGCCATAGAGGCCGGCTCCTAACCATATTAGCAAGTATGTCCAACAATATGTGTTCATTGTCCGCAGGACCCAAACCAGGCAGTCGGGATGCACCAACCGACGCCAACTTCGAAGTGAGGGTTTTCATTTCTCTCGACCAAGTCACCGCTTGGCCTCCCCTCCTCCTCTTCCAACCACACCCACAACGCGCAAACAACGCACGTCGCGGGAGTCGGTGTGCTGGCATGCGCAACACGTAGCCTAGCCATCGGAGCGTGGTGAGTGATATAATGGTGCTGAGCGGTTCACTCGCTGTTCCTGCACCAAATACGCGGCCCCGAACATGCTCATTGTTTACGCGATGCTCCCACCAGACACGAGCTAAGCTGCGAAGGTGACGATGATCGAACGTGACCAGCCTCTTTATGTCTGTCGACCTGATGGACCAGATTTCACAACCGTATAAGAGAGTTGAACGGACGGCTGTATTATAAAATCTGCCCTGCAGAGAGAGAGAGAGTAATGTCACGTCTGCGCCACAGGTGGCGGAGATTGGCAAAAGCACCTCGAGCTTTTGCTATACGTCTCGTAATCTCAGCTTCGATCCCACGGGCGCTACTATAGCTGCCCAAGTAATTGAATTCCTGAAGGACTTCTGTCTGATCATCACCAAGCGTCAGCGCAGGAGGCGGTCCCTGCCAATCTTGCAGAACTTTGCATTTCGATGGAGCAAAGCATATCCCAAAACGATTGACAGCCAGTGCTAATGGGTCCAGTGAAGTCTGGAACTTTTGGCCATGTCACATATGAGGGCAATGTCATCCGCATACTCCAAGTCAAGAAGTCGCTCACCAGGAAGTAGCTCCACACTTTCTAGGTCGTGTCCAGCGAACGCTCTTTCCATGACTTCATCAATAGCGAAGTTAATGAGGAAAGGCGACAGCGGGCAACCTTGTTTCACACCGCTAGAGATATTGAAGAGTGGCAACAGTTGGCCAGAAACCGTCCCTCTGCCCGAACTATGCGCGTACAACGCTTTGATAATGTTTACATATTTATCGGGCACACCATTTCTCAGCATACAGTCCCAGAAGGCACATCAATCCTCCGAATGGAAGGCACCTTTGATGTCGAGAAACACGACAACGGTGGATTGCCAATATACATGGCGGTGCTTCAACAATCGACACAAAGTGAAGATGTGATCAATGCAGCCTTGATTGCGACGAAACCCGGTTGGCTCTTCGCGCATCTGGCCTTCACGAGCGCCAATCAGTTTGTGGGGAACGACAGACGCAAGCAGTTTGGGGGCAATTGAGATCAGACTGATCCCTCTATGCTTGCCACATCCCGAAGGAAAGCCTCCCTTGAAAAGTGGGACTAAGACGAAGCGGTTCCAGCCTGTTGGGAGAGTGTCTTGCTCCCAAAGTTCCACTAACAATTCGTGTAAATCATCCAGAAGAGCAGGTCCCCCGAATTTGCAGAGAGCGGGGGAATTCTATCTGACCCTGCGGCCTTATCCGATTTCAACAGCCTGATCTCACGTCCTACTGTGCGTGAGGGCGGATCCAAGGAGACGGCCCATGGAGAAAGGCGCTCAATGCCCGAAAAAGAAAGCGATAAGTCAGGTTGGTTAAACTACATTGCAAAGTGTTCGACCAAACGCTCCAAGCGTTTTGCCAGGCTGTGAATCGACTGTCCACTCTCGTCGCGTATGGTCTCGCTAACACCAAATCTACTGCTGCCTGTATCCCGTATCAGACGGAATAACTTACGATGATTACCAACGCCAGCAGCTATTTCCATCTCCGAAGTACGATGAGATCACCAGACTTCGCGGTCTCTCTTCAGGCTAGCACGCAGTTCCGTGCTGAGATCTCTGCGAGTCTCGTTGTATTCGCTTCCAGCCGGAATACGTCGGCAAGCATCCATCAGTTCCAGAGACTGTGTAAAGATCCAATATCCAGATTGACAACTTGGTTTGCCATATCAGAACATGCATGCTGATAGTAACGTTTGGCGAATATGCATACAGTGATCTTCGACGGTGTTCAGAGGGCGATTACTCAACCTGGATGCCAACGTACTTGGATACACATGCAGAACACCTGGCTTCGCCAGCTGGCTGGTGCCAATGCGCTCACATCGACATTGCAGGAGTCCACCAAAACGCACCCGGAAATCGGCACACACGAGAGCATGATCGGAGTCCAAGCTGATGCTCCAAATCGAGTGACAGTGTTGGACGCAGCCTCTCCAGCAGTAAATGATTGATTTGTGTTCATAGCTGGTGCGAAGCTGGTGGGCACCAAGTCACTCTTCTGTGGGTGCTATGTCAAAAGTTAGTGTTCGCGAGAAAGAGACGAGTATGTTCACACAGGTGTAGCAACCGTTCATTGTTATCATTACGGGAGACTACACCATGTCGACTGCCAGATGAAGCTCACCAGAGGATAATTTTCCGATTTGGGCGTTTAGATCACTAGCAAGTACCACAGTATCCGTGCTTCTTCTGTAACGAAGAAGATCGTTAAATTGGTGATATAAATCATCTTTTACCAAATCAGTGCCACAGTTTTTTGGGGCTTAGGCCGCAATGACAAACAAGCACCGCGGTTTCAAAGCATGGAACGGACCAGCTAATCTAACGGCACACGTCCGACTGTTGACTGGGATCCAATCGATCAGGGCAGCTTCAGTCCGAGGACTAAAAACAATACCGACGCCAGCTTGACCGATAATTGAAGCTGCAGCATCGCCAGACAGGCGCAATGAGAATGTTCCGCCAGTGTCACGTATGGGGAATCGCAGGGTAAGCACGGAGCTCGGATCTTGCACGCGGGTTTCTGATAAACGGCAAATATCGATCGATAGAGTCGGTAGTGTGCGGGCAAGTGCTGCCTGTTGGCCAATCTGTAGCAAAGTGCGCACGTTGAGGCATGCCAGTCTTAGCGAGGCTCGAGGACTCCAAAGAGAAACAGACGAACTGACATTGTCCGCTTGGTTGAACATGGACTGGTCGACTGGATTGGAGTGATGCCGTGCGACTGTGTGTGATTTGAAACTAGAAGACAAGTGACTATTGAAGCAAGGTGGGGGAAGGCCAATAATTGGGGGACTGAAAATGGGGGATAAAAGCAAAGTTAGAGCACTGTTTCTTGTTCTCTGCGACGGCCAGAGAATCAAGAGTGTTATAAGGAAAAATCATGGTGTATTGCGTGAGCAGAATACTGTTAAGTTGCCCAGACTTAGACAGGAGAACGATTAGGTTTCTTAAGCAAAGTCTTTGGTTCGAAAACCCATTTTATGGAGTAAGGAGCCACCCTCACTCCAACCCCCAACATGGAAGACCAGAAGACTGAGTTTCTCTGGCCTCTAACCATTGACCAATCTGGTATGAGTGGCTCTGAAGATGCAAAAAAAGCACCACCCAACATACCTCAATGGA